TGGAATGAGAAGCTCATAACTTCTGTAGAGGGTAGGCTGCAAGTGTGGAAGAATCTAGGAGTGCCTGGAGACCCCTTCCCTTTGAGAAAAGACTCCCAGGAAGAGGCTGAGGTAGGAGCTTTAAAATTGGGCAGGATTGTAGGTGTGGGTGTGTGATTCTACAATCACTGGAAGGTCCTAGTGCATTCCACTGGGTTTCCAGAACCCAGAAGCAGGTCTGAGAGGCTCTGTTATGGAAATGGGACCTTAAGACAACAGAGTTCAGTACTGTCCACAGCCTAAGAGGCCACCTGGCTCCAGGGAGACCTTAGGAGGCCTCCTAGGGATGAACAGGAGGACACACACAGAGGAAGAAGAAAGTGGAATAGAAATGATATGAAAAGTGCACTTCTAGAATGTGTTTGGAGTGGGAGAGATCTGTATCCTAAAGTAGTACTGGGTTCTATCAGAACAGGAAGGAACCCATGGGAATTAAACATGAAATACAAAGGTCAGAATTAAGTCCAGGAAATTGTTCAGCACCAGAAGGATCAAACTGAATACAAACCCCAGAGACCCAACATTAGCTTCTTGAGAGATGAGGAAAGGAAGGAAGTTGGACAGACTATTTGGAGTTGGGGGGGGCTTTCCCTGTGGCCAACCAGAGCCCTCTAGCCTTTGAGGAGGGCACACATTGCAGTGCCAACTCCAGGAACCTGACAAAGTTGAAAACCAGCCTGAACTACATTAAACCCTCTTTCAAACATTAAAAAACAAATAAAACCCTACAAAATGACAAAAACTTTATTAAAAAACTTAGTGAGTAGGAATATATCTACCCAAGAGAAGAAGGACTGGATGCTGCCAGCTGCTGCTCCTGTCTAGTGAATGTGTTCCAGGGTCTCTCTGAGGATGAGACCCAGAATTCAGAAAGGAAGTTCCACAGTAAAGGTTTCAGTTACTATTTCAGAAAGCAAGCTGTCCAATAATGGAGCAAACCATGTAGACACATGAGTCTTGGGATGTAACATAAAAGTTGAGGAAAAGCTCCAGGTGAGGAGCTAGACAGAAGCCTCAAGTCTTTATAATAAATTTAAAATAAACTTTTTACCTGGTCAGATAAAAAGACCGGCAGGAAATCACACCCCGGTACAATGTGCAGGAGATGCGTTTAAACCTGAAGAAGATGGCCAAGAAAATGACCACATCAGTGTTCTGCTGAAGTTTTCTCCAGACACAACGTTTGGCAACACAGGGCTCTGAGAAGGTGCTGACATTTTTTGAAGGGCTGGTGCCTCCCAAGCAGCGCTCACTGTCTGGGGATGCGTTCTCTGTGGATCTCAGGAGGTGGCCCTTCTGAGGGGTCAGTTCTGGGGAAACAGACATGGCTCTAGGCAAAGAGCTCATCCTGAGGGATCCCAGCCCTCCTCAGAGCTTGGGTTGCCCACATGTGCCAGCCCCACCCCACAAGACATTCCTTTCTTGGCTGAAGCGCTGGGGTTTGGAGAGAGAGTGGCCTCAGCAGAAGGCTGAGGTCAGCCGAGCTGCCCAGTCTCTGCCCAGTCCTCTCTCCTGTTTGTCTACTTCTGGAAAGGGCCAAAAATGGGGTACAGGAGGGCAAAGACTCAGACTCAGCCCTGGTCAGGACCCTCAGCTAGTGACCAGCCAGCTTCTCTTACCTGCTCTGCAAGGTCTTAGGAACCCTTTGCTGGGATACAACAGTGGTGACCTGGCAACTGTCTCCAGGCAACCATTACCAGGGGACTATGATTCAGCGGCTGCTCAAGGTAAACAAGAGTTTTAAGTGGATGGTGAAAGGGGCCACTGTATGAGCTAAGGGCAGCCTCACAGAAGCTGGGCAAAGCAAGAGGTGGAGAATGGGGATCAAATTGGTCTGAGGTGGCTGGGGGGATACTGAGAATAAGTAGGAGTCTTGTATAGACATCTCCCTATGTCTGAGCCATCCTCTCATGAATTCTTCCAGGGTCTCCCTGAGCGTTCACAGGGACTCCCCAATCCAGACCTAGTAATATAGGATCTGACAGCAAGCATGGCTCAAAGTGGCTCTTACTGCCAATTTGTAATTTCCTACTGAGGTCCTTGGGACTTTTGGTCCCAAGATTCCAGCTGTATGAACCTCATGTCATCTTTCAGAGCCTTGTAAGGGTCACAAGGTTTGACAGGGACTATATGGTGCTTCCAAAAAACAGGAGGACATCTTGAGTCCTGGAGCCCATGAACATGACTTTTTTTTTTTTTTAAGAAAGGTCTGTACAGATGTGATTGAATTAGACTCTTGGGTGAATCATCTTGCATCAACCAGGTGGACTCTAAACCCAATGACTGATGACTTCGTCAAAGGGAAGCAGAGAAAACAGTATATGGCCATAAGCCACAGGACTAGTGAACTAAGAGGAAGCATGAGGGCTCCCCCAAATGGCCTTGGTGAGGCATTGGTAGTATTTTGGAAATTCTGGAAAACAACTTTTGTTGTTTTAGGTTACTCATTAGCCCTCCTCACCTTCAGGTTCCTTTGTGTTTCTGCCCATGCTAAGGGGCTCCATCATCACCTTAGAGACTGTGCACCCCTAGGCTTTACTAAGTGACTCCTCCCTTGACGTCTCTTTCCCAGTCTTAAGCTGCTGGGGAGTGAAGTTGTGCTAGGCATGGCTGGCAGGGCATCATCTCTCAGCTGCGCCAAGTCCTGAGGGAATAGGGGTGCTCCCATGGGCTGTCACTATTTGTGGGACTGCTTACTGTCACTGATCCTGCCCTTCTATGCTGTGCTGGGGGCAGGGAGTCTTTGTGGTCAACCCAGTGCTGGATCAAGAAACCTCTCTGCCCTAATTAGTAGGGTAGTACTGCAGGTGCACTGGGGCACATAGAACTTCTACTAAGCCCTAGACTGAGTTACTGGAGCTTATGACTCCCAGCCTGGGCAGGTAACACATCCAATCCTGGAGAGGCTCTGGACAGGTAGCCAGCAGTCACTACTGACCCTAGGGGTATGAAGGGCATTTCCAATTCTCACTCCAGGGGCCAGGGATTTAGCTCAGTGGTAGAATGATTCCTTTACATTCATGAAACCCTGGGGCTTGGTGCCTGCACAAAACAACAAATATCCATTTCCCACTCCATTGTTGACTCTTGGCTGGGATAGAAGCCCCATTTTCATTGATCGCTTGACCTTGGTATATTTTGGCATACATATTACCTACCAGAACAAGCTTTGTGTATGGTGGGGTATAGTGAGCCCTATGTCTCTCTTCTGCAGGTCTTCTCTCTGCTGCGAGCACAGACCATTAGAATCCCTGTGTCCTCAGCCTGGTCCTTTGCAAGGCTGCTTGTTAATGTTTTGCATGGTTAAAATGAAGTGATCAAAGTATAATTTCACAAATCATAAAATTTATTGTCTTACAGAGATTTTTTTTCCTGCCTTTTTCTTACAATGCTTAAAGAGAGGACAATAAAGAGACTGCCTATCACAGGGAGCATAATGGGCAGATGAGCCCCTCAGCTACATAGAAAGAACCTCCAAAGCAGGGTCCAGTTACTCACTTGGAACATAGCAGGCCTCTGTAGGAGGTGAAGTCCATTCGGCATATAATGGCTCTCTGGAGAGACTGGCCTGATCAGTACTAAGAAATCTGTAAGAGCATGTTGGGTCCCTTCTTGAGGGCAGTGGGTGAGACAGGGCTTGGCTGTGTTGGTCTCAGGCTGTATTGGCTAACTTCAGGTTTGCATGAATCTAGGCTTATATGTTGGGTCTGAGAAGAGAGGAGGTTCAGTTCTAGTTTTTTGATTTTGATTTTTTTAATTTATTTTATTTTATTATTTTTTTATTTGAGATTTTTGCCTATATAAGGGTGTTGGATCCTGGAGTTATAGACAGTTGTCAGCTGCCATGTGGGTGCTGGGAATTGAAACCAAGGTCCTCTGGAAGAGCAGTCAGTGCTCTTAACCACTGAGCCATCTCTCCAGCCCCATGGTTTTGTTTTTTGTTTGTTTGTTTTTGTTTTTGTTTTCCAGACAGGGTTTCTTTGTGTAACAATCCTGGCTGTCCTGGAACTCACTTTGTAGACCAGACTGGCCTCAAACTCACAGAGAACCGCCTGCCTCTGCCTCCCAAGTGCTGGGATTAAAGGAGTGCGCCACCATCGCTGGGCCGGTTCTAGTTCTTATAACAGCAAAATACATGCTGCTCATACAGCAAATGATATAAGAATTGGAAATTATTGTGGAGTGACAGTTCTAGAAAGAGCCTTTTGAAAATTCTCAGGGCTAAGGGATGGGGTCTTTAAGTTTGGGGTATTCACCATCCAGAATTTTGTTGAAGCAGGGCTCTCTGATCCTAAAAGTTGGAGATGGGCTGCAGAGAAGACTCATGAGCAGGCTGACAATGCAGGGCTATGCAGCCTTCTGCATATCCCCTGGATATGTGTCATTATCACCTGATCTGGCACCTGGGCAGTACCCCCATCCCTGAAAGCCATATGTCTTACTTTTCTCTCTGGGTTTGGGCACAGAGATTAGAAGTGTTTCTGTTCTCCATTGGCCCCATGACCTGAGGAGTTGGAGAGGGGACTGAGGACCAAGGCTTTGGATCTCCTCTGGCTGTATACCAGTGTTGACAACACAGGGCTGTAGAATCTGCAGATGCCAGCTGATTACAGCTTGAGGTCCCTCAGTGTGGGACCCAGTGGGCTATGAGAGCCAGTGTCACTGTGACAACCCACTGACTGCTTTTGAAAATGATGGGCTTGGAGGCCTTGGGATCTCACATCTTTGTTATACAATATCTGCTGTGGCTGTGACAGAAAGCTACCACAGGGTCAGAGAGAGGCAGTCAGGCCCAGGGGGCCTATAGGCTCAGACTGTTGTGGTCTGTTTGGATGAGGGCATGATGGGCCCCGCCCTGGACAGTTGTACTAGAAGGACAGTCGTACTAATGTGCTAGAGGGCCTTGCCCTCTATTCAGTGTCTATGAAATGGTGAGGATGTCGTCTCCAACGGTGAAAAGGCCATGGATGGACGGCATTACCAGACAGTATTAGACAGAGCATCCAGATCTAACCATGTCTGGTAAGACATCCATCAGCAGGCAGTGTACCGTGCAAGGGTCTCCCCATCTGGACAGTTAGTCCTGATCCGATACCTGTGGAGGGAAGGTGGGTGGGGGGCACTCCCTGCCTGCTCTGGTCCTTCACCTTTCTGTAGAGTTGGCCCAAGGGCCACTTATGGGGTTGGCTGGGTCCTCCTAGGACCTGAGGTTACTCTGAGGACTTTCTTACCAGGCTCTAGCCCAGAGCCTCATCCACAAGTGTGTAAATCTGTGGGTGCACCAGTGGAGTCATCTGTTCACTTCTCGTTCTTATTTGGCAAATGCTCATCACAGCACCTCTTTGGTTTCCTGAATGGCTCAGGTTAATGACTAACAATGAGGCCAGGGACAGACCCCCATCTCCACCCCCCTCCCCAGGGAGAGGTACCTTGGCTCATGCTGGGTGGGGTTCACTGGTCCTGTACTCTGGCTTCAAATAAAGAAAGATAAGAGGTAATCCTGGATTCTGATTTGGGGGCAAAGTTCCTGCTCTGGACAGCCACTGGGGAGAAATGGAGATTCCTTGTCCTTAATTAGGAAACAGCTGGTGACATCACAGTGCTGCATACAGGCTCAGGTTCCTGACTCACCCTTGCCCACTAATACCACAGGCATCTGATGTTAAGAGTCCTTATGCAAACAGTGCTGTCCACCATGCCTCCTTGTCTAGCCCAGCATCCTGACCAACTCTGACAGGAATCAATGAACCCCAAAATCTAGCCAGTAGGGGAGTTTGCAAAGGTGGGCATAAGTGACAAGCTGCCTCTACCCCAGGACCTCTAGCATGGTGAATCCAGCCCTTGCCCCAGGATGACTTCCCACCGTGGGCAGAGTCCAGCCCCCATTGACTGCTGAGCTGTAGAGCTAAGACAGGCCCTCTGAAAGCCCAGCACATCCTCAGCCTTGGTCTATTTGTAGTCCAGGAGCTAGGACAAGTGCATCATCAGCCTGTCTTCGGCGAGTGGTGGGTCACCTTTGAACATCGTTACCAGACAGTGTTAGAGTCAAGTCAAGAAATCCAGCACTGTCCGGTAAGATGCCCACAGAGGCCCAGATGAGCTTTGGTAGGAAGATACAGGGTAAGATATGTGGGTTTCCATATGGCCCAGTGGAAACCAGGTGCCATGAACAGGTAGGCTGGCAGAGAGAGGATGACTCTGACTCATACATACTTTCTGCTTTGTCCAAAGCAAGGAACTGTGGCACATTGGCTCAATACCCATGTTAGAGATGCTGTTAGTCTGCAGGTCAGTCAGTACCCACTTGACGCAGGAAGGGAAGGCATCCTAGGTCTGAGTAACCCCACTAGGGGTCAGTACACATCTCCCCGATCTGGGTGATGCAAATTTTGACATGAGGCCTTCTGAGCCCAGGCTGGGCCTTAGTCCTTTAGAGGCTTTGTTTTAGTTCCACCCACCCCACACCTGCGAGGTGTGGTGATAACACCTGCCTGGGTGGTGTAGTCAGGACCTAGATATTTGAATGTCATAATCCCCAGAGCACTGGGAGAGGGCACCCCCAGTGGTAGTAAGCCCCTCACCCCAGGACACAGAGAGCCTTTCAGAGGTGCCTGGTCAGGAAAAGCTCTCCTTAAAGCCCCCATGCCCAAGATTAACTTTCTACTCCATAGCCCTATCCTGGGTAGGGTAAATGAGGTGTGGAACTAGAGCCCCTGAGAGCTGGGATCAGGAGGCGGCCCCATTGCTGCATGCAGGGCTCCGCCGTCATCATTACCAGGCAGTATTAGAGATCAGACACTATCCAATGCTGCCCAGTAAGATGGCCACGGCTGCCCAAGTTGGATATGGAGGCCGCCTGGCAGGGAGTTGAAGAGGACTAGATTCCATGGGCAGGGACCAGATGCCTAACATCTTAATTCCCAGAGCACTGCAGAAGTGGGGCACCCCCAGGACAATAGTAGAAAGCCCTTCATTCTAGACGACAAAGAGGGGCTGACCCTTAGCACCTTCCAACTCCAAATATAGATGATAGGGGGGTCAACAGCCTGAACTAGAATCAAGTTCTCTTTGGGAAATTAGATGGAAAATGATTAGGGTGTAGGTCTCATAGACCCTAAGGCCTCTGTGTGCCTCTCCATGAGGCTCAGTGGAAGAGCTTAGCACCATTGGCCACAGATGAGATCCCCTGCCCAGCTAGACCTGGCCTGCAGTGAACTAGCTTGGGACCCAGTTGAGAACTTGGGAGGGTCAAAGGGTCCCTCCCAGAGGCTGACAGCCCCAAAGAGCTGGGAGTCAGGCTAGAGTTCCATGTGATCAAGGGCCAGGTTAGGATCAAGTCATAGATGGGCCCTTCATCCCTTCTGTGTCCTTACACCAAGTATTTCCTAAGCTTGCTGAGACTGCCAAAGCAGCTTCTCACATTTTTCTGGCATCTTCTATCACAGAGGCCATACAAGTGACTCAGGCCCTGTACTTATTTCCTTGGATCACAGCAAAGGCTTCACTGCCTCCAGGCAGCTGCTAGTTATCCAGCTTCTCTCCCCGTAGCCAACATTTCTTAAAGGATCTGACCTGAGCACTGGCCTAGCAGATGGGGTTAGGCAGGCTGCAGGAGCCTAACTGGGGTCTCGATGATCGAAGTGTCTGTCTTACTGCTAGGCTTCCTGTGGTCTCAAACACCTCCCAGATACACTTCCCTTTTCCAGAGTTTTTTTTTTTTTTTTTTTTTCTCCATTCTATCAGACCAATAAAATCAGTGCTGCAAGAAGAATTTTGTTTTCTTTCTCTTATTTTTTTTTTACGGCTTTGGGAAAGTAAGATTTTTTTATTTGAGAACTCAGTGGACTTTCAGGTGTTCTTGTGGCTGCTGAGCCACAAAGAGAAGAGAGTAAGAAATGGATGGCAGTAAGGATGAAGGGTGTTGCCTTTTTCCCCTTCTGGTTGGATCAAACACACAGGGAAGACAGAATATTTAACGATGAGCCTGGTGTCCCTGTGTCCTTGACTGCTCAAGGTGAACACTTCTCAGGGAACATGAAAGACTAGGGGACCCTGCCAAGTATGAAGCTGGCCAGGCCTTAAGCCAAAGGGACAGGCCACCCTCTATGTACTGAATCCTGCTCTTGCCTAGCATGCTGAGAGGTACAGAGGTGCCCAGACAGCAGAGAACAAAGAGAGAGAGAGAGAGAGAGAGAGAGAGAGAGAGAGAGAGAGAGAGAGAGAGTCCAAACTGCAAAGCCTACAGGACCTCCAGAAAAACTTAGAGGTTGAACAGATGCTAGAAGTCATGAGTTGGGAATGGGTGCCCTGGTATCAAAGCACCAATGAGTTTGGGAGAGACCCTGCTTACCCTGCTTTATCCAATACAGGGGTAAGGGAGTCAAGAATATGACAGAATTACAGCCACAAGTCAAGAGGTGAAAAGTAAAAACAGAGGCAGAGGTTCTGTTTGGAGCCCTGTGTGGTACCCAGATGGTCAGCTGTAATTGGGAAGTGAGGTTCAGGTCATGGTCCCCACAGCTAGTTAGTATCAGCATCTAGTAGGCTCAGTTTAGGAAAACTGAGAGATGGATTAAGAAGTCCAGGGCTCCCAAGCCTTCTCTGAAGCAAACATCCACTACCACCCCCCTTTCCAGGGTGCCTTTGTCCCCATCTGCAAGAACACAGAAATTGGGGGATTTGTGGCAGAGGAATGAAATCCCAGTGTGACAAAGTGAGTCTCTGGTTAACTTGCCCAACGGGCCTTAATCAATGGTGAGGCCAGAGAACAAAGCTCTGAAATCTAACCTCTCCTACAGCAGATCAGCCAAACTTAGATGCCAGCAGCTGTGGGGGGCGGGAGCAGGAAAGGCTTGTCTTGTCTACACTCAGGCTACTTCTTAGCGTCTATTGGAACTACGTGTCTTCAAGGCAGAGCCGCCATTTCATCCTCACTTCAGTCAGCATTGTCCCTCAGCCTTCTCAGTTGTGTAGCACACCCTTCATGTCCACTGTACCTCTGAGTGCCAGGCTCCTGCAAAGGGGAACTTCCTTAGGCCATTTACCTGATCCTAAACACACTAAGAGCTTCCTGACAAATTGATTTTGCAAATAAAGTATTTGCAAATTACCAAGATGCCTGAAAATTAACAAAGGACTCTGTCCATATTTTATGGCTCATTTGCATTTTCATAAATGCAAAATATTTTGCTTAATTCAACAATCTGCCAATTGGTTACATTATATGAGTTACCAGAAAAACAAAACAAAGCTGAACTACTTTTTCGGGTGCTCAGCCTAAAAAAGGCTTAAAATGTTCATGGCATATTAATCAAAATACTACACTCTTAAATCCTATGGATTTAATTTAAGAACAATCAAAACAACATACTCTATATTATGCCTAAAGAAAACTAACCTTATTTCCTTTCAATGTTAGCTCCTAAGTTTAAACTCAGAGAGCTGGCCATCGGGTACAAACTCAAGGCTAAGCATGCTTGGACGCCATAGCACAGGCTAAATGTTCCTCAAACCAGATATTTATATGACTATTCATGGCTGCCATGCTATTTGGCATTAAAGTAAAAAATAAAATAAAATAATGGGCCTTGATCTTGAATAATGGTTTGAGAAACCTGTTCTGTCTCCTTCAGTGTGGTCCTGGCTTTGTTGGCACCTCAAAAATGAACAAGTGAGAAAAAGCCGGAGTACAAGGCTGACCAATTCTGATCTCACATTGCCATCAGCCTAAGGGTCTCAGCCAGCCTCTGACCATCGGTCACTCTGGGTCATGGCTGCTGGTGAAAGCAAGCCCTTCCTAGCACCGAAATCCACCAACAGAGATGAGGTTCAGATACCCGCCAGCCGCACCCTTCCCTGTACCCACCTCTGAGGCGGCAGCCTACGTGGTGGAAAAAGTATCTCAGGAACAGCAGTGGTTGCTTTATGAAAGAATATTCCAGAAGGGTCTATTTCCAGGAATGGCAGGAGTCTGTTTTCTGCTCTCCAGGTGCTTGAACCCACCTGATCTAAAAATGAAGCCTGTGGACCCCTGGAGGCTCCCAAGCCTAGCCCAAGATGGCTCCACATCTGAATCCCGGCTGTGCCATGGTTGAAGGAGACACTTTCTTCTTTGGAAAGCAAGACTGTTCTGTTCTGCACCCACCAATTCACAGAAATTCACTAGACAGAGGCTGATCTGTGAGTCGCACGTCTGTCACCACCATTCATCCTATTCCATGTCACTTAGGGGCCCTCCAGCCTCTCCGTACAGAGTGGTATTCTCAGGCCTGTCTGGCCTCCCGCCTGCCCGCCTCTACCTGCCCCAACAGGTTCCTGACAGGATCCTCCACTGCTGAACAGAACTGCAAGCCACTCCACCCCCAGAATTGAGGCAGCACTGTGCCTGTGCCTAGGACCCACCGGGTGAGGTGTAAACCAAGGTTTATAAAGGATATGGAGAGGCCTGGGCATTCACCACCCCCATATACCTGTCAGCCGTGGTGGATAGAGCTGGGCGCCCAGCTTTGGCATCAACCCAAACTTTCCCTCAGCCAGGAATCAGTCTCAGGCGTTGTAGCCGGGAAGTCACAGGAAAAGAATGACTGTCTCCCCTTCAGGTGAGTCTCAAACACAAAGAAAACTAGGGTGCACGGTGGACTGGCACAGGTCGACAATTCGGGGACAAAGGGGAGGAAAGAAACAGCTCGCAGCCAGAAAGGGGAAGGACAGTGTGGCCTGGGCTCGCCTTACATGTAGCTCCTCACCCCGCCCATGCAGGTGTCTGTTCCCTGCCAGCCAATCTCTGCTTCTGGCCCCCAACAGGTGTGTCCCCTGGGCTCCGATAGGACGAGAGGGAGGCAGCTCTGGTGACGAAGGCAAGGGGGCGGTAGGCCCACACATTCCTGCCCCCACCTTGCCCGCCAAGCCCAGGTTGAACAAAAACCAGGGTAGGGAGGCCCCTGTGGGGCCTGGCTGGCATGGTGCATGGATCACTAAGGCCCAGGCCACAGGAGCAGCTGTAGACAGCAGTTACTTTCCAAATCCATAGGCACTACAGGCTGCTTTAGAAAGGAGAAAGGTGGGGATCATATATTGTATATAAGCACTGGACCTGACCCCTTCACCTCTCAGGCCTCAGCACTCAACTGTGGCTACTATCTCTGGCTGGCTCTCAGCATCTACTGCTGACCAGAGCTTGAAGGACCCACATTCTCCCAGCCCTCTCTGTGGCAGGTTGCCTTAGAACTCCACAGACACAAATACCAGGGTCATAGGTGTTCCTAGGGCCTTCTTAGTACAAAGGCTACTGTAGCCCCAAGAACCCTAATTTGGATAGATCATTGACTATAGAATCTTTAGAGTCAGGCATGGTGGTTCATGCCTTTAATCCTAGTGGTCCGAAGGCAGAAGCAGGCAGATCTCTGGCCAGCCTGATCTACAAAGCATCAGGACAGCTTGAGCTAAACAAAGAAACTCTGTCTTGAAAAAACAAAAATAATCAGACCAGTTGTGCAAGGTTTCTTGTTAGAGATTGGAAGGGCATATGTTCTCCGTTCTAGGCCTGAGTAGGTATGGCCCCAGTGTAGTCTAGGGATGAAACCATTAAGTCCCTTTCTGAGAGTTCCCCATGACTCCAACAGACATGTTTGTTTCTTGGGCTCTCAGGGGAAGGGCCTATAATGAAACGACAAACGACCCCAGCAATTAGGCACACCAGCAGAGAGATCCCAGGAGGCCCAACTATTTTCCATAACGAACTCAGCAGCTCTGCTGGAAACTCCTAATTATGAAGGACCTGTCTCCTGAGCCCTGACACTCAGTATCCCTCTGTCTAGGAGTGGAGGGAGCTTTGTAAGGCCTGTT